ACGAGATGCCTAAGTGACTGGAGTTCAGACGTGTGCTCTTCCGATCTTAAAAGCTATTCAAATTCAAGAGAAAGGACAGCATTTTGACTAACTCGTGTATTAAAAAATGAGAATGTATTAGGTCTATTGGAAAAACCACTATAAACAAACCGTGCTATATACCGCAAGGTGATGTGGAAATGATTATGTTTTGTCATAAACGAAAAACATTTTTCAACCGATATGTATAAATATACAATTAATTTTATAACAAAAGTGTCAAGTTATGATTTTAATGAAATTTTGTGCACATAGGTTAGGTAAACAGATGAATTTACAAAATATCAGTTGCGATGGAAAAACGCAATAAAAATTTTGAAATTACCCATTAAAGTTAAATTTAATTAACTTTTAATTTTAATTTCTTTCGTTGTTTCTCGAAAACCATTCAAGATATCAAAAAATGTTTTAGACAAAAGTTTTACAGTAAAATTATTTCTATTGACTTACGTTAATAATATTTTTTTAGAATAATTATATTTTAAAATTTTTTTGAAAATTTATGAAAATAATTATTTTTGAAAAATTCTATTAACATTAATGAATAGAAGTAATTTTACTGTAAAACTTATGTATAAAACATTTTTGGATTAAGATATCAAAATTTTTGTTAATTTTAATGCAGACGTTATCACTGACTGACACAGATCAGATTATTACTTAGTTAATTCTTTTTTTTACATAACGTGTCACTTCAACATTTCACACTCGATTTACATACTAGATTCACATACGAACAATTCACTGAAAATAGGAGAAATCAACTAATGCATCTATTTGTTACATACTTTACAATCACTGTCGATTAATTATCTATCCACTGAAACATCATACGAAGAAATACACGGCGATTTACTAATACACGACCCGTTCACTCGAGGACAGCAAGCAGTCGACTGACTTTAATATCGCATTTATTAATTAATAATTATCAGTGTCGATTAATTATTTGTATCGATTAATTATTTGTATCGATTAATTATTTGTCGACTAAAAAATTACTCTAAAAAAGAAACACACGACGCTTTCACTCGATGATAGCAAGCAGTCGACTGACTTTAACACCGAATTTATTAGTTAATGATTATCAATCCCATGTCTATTAATTATTCGTCGACTAAAAAATCACTCGAAGAAAGAAGTACGCAACAATTTACTAACAATCGTTGAAATTCTTTAAGAGGCTATCAGAATTACGATCAGAACACCAAAAAATGTTCTTTCTTTATTATTGAAAAATTCTTTATTATTATAGAAAATTTCGAACGCAGAATCTTTGGAGCGCTAGAACTTTTTAGTTTTCGATTTCTCGACGTCGACTATTAAGGATCGTTAGAACTCTTCGGGGAGCTATCAGAACTCTTGTCAGAATGCTGGATTTCTTAAACAAATTTTACAGCCCTATGAACTTACTGTTAAAGAATCGCTGCTTCGATCTCGAATAAGATCTCACGC